ATTTTATTTTATTTTTATTTTTATTTTTTTGTCTTAACATGAAAAGGTGGTGGAAGAGGACAGGACTTGGAGAAAAGTTGGATTTTGCCAGGGACAGGCCGGTGGAGAATTTCTTATGGACTGTGGGGATCATATTTGAACCTCAGTTTGGTAATTGCAGGAGAATGCTAACAAAAGTTAATTCACTTATAACAACAATTGATGATGTTTATGATGTCTATGGTACCTTAGATGAGCTTGAGCTATTCACGGATGCCATTGTAAGGTTTGTGCAGCACCAATTTCTTGGGCTCTCGGGCACATTTATAATTCTATATTAGAATTGCTCACTTGTTTTTTTCTTTCTTGAAAAGAAAAAGAAAAAACCTTAACTAAAATATTTTATTTTTATGTTCTCATTTCAGATGGGATCTTAATTTCATGGATCGGCTTCCAGATTATATGAAATTATGTTTTTTTGCTTTGTACAATTCAGTTAACGAAATGGCTTATGATATTCTTAAAAATCAGGGAATTGACATCCTACCTTACTTCAAGAAAGTGGTATCTGCTCATCTCTAAAATTTAGTATTATTTTCTTAGTTTTCAGAAATAGTTTAAGGTTTGAGTTTTTTGGTCACTAGGTGAATCTTGGTTTATCATTTTTTTAATTGTTTTTTAAAATAATTCATTTTTTTTACTTAATTAGGATTGAATTTGGTGTAATTGATCAATCTGGTCATAAGTCAATCATCACATTGTCAAATAACCATCTTAACTTAATAACTTAAATTATTAGATAAGGTTTCAAGATATAATTTATATTATTCTCTAACACCCCCCTCAAGTAAAAGTCTTTTAGACTTGAAACTTGCACATATTTATATTACTTTATGCATGATTTTTATCAAATAAATAAGGATGATGAGATTCGAACTCATAACCGCTTGATTATTAAAGTTCTGATACCATATCAAATAATCATCTCAACTCAATAGCTTAAGTTATTAGATAAGATCACAAAATATAATTTTTATTATTCTCTAATATATGTTACCTGAATTTATTAGATGAATATCCAAAATAATTTAAAATAAAATCTGACTCAGTTAAATTTCAGGTCATTAGATCGAGCAACTAGATTAGGTTAAGTTGGATAAAAAGAGTTAAAAAAAACCTGACATAAGTTACATTTTGAATCACTAGATTAACTCGTTGGCTTGGGCTAAATTTGACTACTATAGTTATTTTTTAAATATGCTCTCTCCATTTTTACCGCTTTTTCTTTTGGGAATATAAACCATGGTTAATTTTCAGTGGGCAGACTTATGTAAATCATATTTATTGGAGGCTAAGTGGTACTTCGGTGGATATACACCAACTCTTCAAGAATACATGGACAATGCATGGATTTCGATTGCAGCACCAGTGATTCTAGTTCATGCATATTTTTATGTTTCCAATCCAACAACAGAGGAGGCCTCACAATTCATGGAGGAATACGCAGATATAATTCGATGGTCATCCATGATTTTACGCCTTGCTGATGATCTTGGAACCTCCACGGTATGCTAGACTTCTCCATCTCCCTGTCATAGTTTTGTCCCCTTTTTTCTCACTTTTATGGTAAATTTTATTAGTCCTTGCTATATATTCGTTGTGGTTACGGTTCTGTTCCTAGGCCACAGATCCTCTTTCTCTAGGCATAGGCCTCTAACTGGTAATGGAATGAATTTTGAATCATATAATGCATTACTTTAACTATAAATGGGTCACTTTTACTTATTAAATTTTCGGCCCAAGAAACTATTTTAACTTGTTGGTAAAGGCCCGATCTCCAACATGGCATCTTCTCTTTCATCTTAAAATTCATTCACACTAAAGATGGATGGTGTATTTTTTTCAGTAAATTTCTAGATAAATTAATTTATCTCAGTTTGTAAATATATAAATATTTCATTTTCATTTTGGTAAATATTTTTATTAGCGATGGTTTTTTTTGAAGTATATACATGCTAATTTTCTATTTCTTTTTATTTATAGGATGAATTAAAACGAGGAGATATTTCCAAATCCATTCAATGTTACATGCATGAAGCCGCAGCATCTGAAGAAAAAGCTAGTGATCATATAAGAAATTTAATTGGAAATACATGGAAGAAAATAAATGATTATCAATTTATTAATCCTCATATCTCCCAAACTTTCATTGGAATTGCAATTAACCTTGCACGAATGGCACAATGCATGTATCAATACTCATATAATGCATTACTTTAACTATAAATGCATCACTTTTAGTTATTAAATTTTCAAGATGGACATGGTGTTGGACATCTTGAGACGAAGGATAGGGTGAAATCCTTACTTATTAAGCCTTTATAATTTCATCACAATAAAGGATAAAAAAAATTCATAAGATTGATCTATATGCTTTATTAGATTATGTTGAAGAAACATGTATTTTTATTCTAGCTTAAATATCAATATGTAATAAAAGACTATATATTTCTTCTTTATTTAGAAGATTAGTCAACTATAGCTTGATTATATCCTAGATATCAATATGTAATTAACATCTAGATATTACCTTGTATTTTTATATTAATTTGCCCTATGTATCAAATAAAAATATAATTCTCTACAAATATTTTTAATATGATATTAAATTAGAGAATATTTACTCCGCAAAAACCTTAGAATCACTTTATATAGATAGTTTTTTCTTCTTTATTCCTACTAATAGAACTCACTAACCCACAAGAAACCATATAAGATTTAACTATTTTGATTACCTAAATTTTACACCAAACTCATGAATATTTTGTTGTTTGGATTGGTATCATTTATGCTAGATGGGCCTTGAACGTTTTGATGTATATATTTGGCAAAAACAAACTAGCATATATCAATTGGAATGTTTTGAAATAAGATGAATAGATCCTAATAACAGAAAGTGGAGGAGTTAAAATTATGATATCAAAGGGTAGTTAATCAGTTTAATGGAACCAATTTTGATTGGAAATTTCAATTGGTTTTCTATGGCAAAATCAGTATAGAATACAATGACAACAATATATTTTGATGGAACAAATACCTCTTAACTTTATAAAATAAGTGAACTAATTAAAACAAGATGGTAGGATCTGAGAGACATACTATAGTAGTTCAATAAGATTGTGGAGGGAGATTAATTTTACAAGACCTAGTCTTATGGTTGGTGATCATGATATTAAAAATTCAACCCAATTCATTAAGAAAACATAAATCAAACCTTTTTAAATAGGCTAGATCATCAACCAGACAAAATTAGAGCAGATGTTATTTAAATAAAGTCACTATTCATTGTGGAACAACTATTCTCCATGGCATGAAAGACTTAGTAATCTGTGATGCTTAGGAGTGTCTATGTGGGGATAATGATATGAGAAAAATTCATCAACTAGCCACCATGACACCAGGACAACGAGAGGCAATTGAAATTATTTTATTTAGCCCTGAAAATAATAGCAATATGTAATTAAGGCTCAAATGTTCTTTTATATTTACAAGATTATTCAACTATAGCTTGTTTTTAATTTAGATATTAGCATGTAATTAAGGTTTAGATACTATCTTTTACTCTATATAAATAAATAAAAAATAAAACAAAAGGAGAATTCATTATAGCTTCCCTCACATTTTTTTAATTCACCACCACATATTGTTTTATTCGCCACCACACTGTGGTGATCCTTTTATTATTCATAAGAAAAATTGTTTATCTTTAAATTAGGGACATTTTTATCTTTGCATATAGTTCATTAGGCATTATAAATTTTCTTAGGGGTATTTTGTCTATTCAATATATTTATGAACAGTTAAAGAACCAAAATACCCCTAGAATAAAATTTAAAATAAAACTAAAATTATAGGGTAGGGGTATTAGTGTCTTTTTCTTTTTAAGCATACAGTAAGATTATATATATATATATGACCTTATGGGAAAAAAAAATTAAGTCATTAAAATAGAAGTGTTGGCATCTTTTTTTCTCGAGTTTTTTTAATTGTTGATTTGGTAGAGGATGATAATGTAATTTATTATTTAATTTATAATTTTTAAATGTAAAAAGATATTAGGTTATGAGAGGCGTAATGTATTTTGAAAGGTGCATGTGACATCTTCTCGTGATGGAAAATAAGCTTTCACTATCTCATTTAGCTCTCCTCCATGTTTTTTTTTTCTTTATTGGTGGCATGTGTTTGCTAATAGTGGTGAGTCTGTAATTGATGGTCCTTTTTTCTCTCTTCATTTTTCTTTTCTATATAAAAAAAATTAACTCTTGTTTTTTTTTCCAATTAATGCCTTTTTTTTTGAATTGGTGGAACATGCCTGCTAAAGGTGGTCGGTTTGTAACCAATGTCCCTTTGTGTTCTTTGTTTTCCCTTCATTTCTCTCTTCTACCTTAGAAAATTAACTCTTGTTCTATTTTTTGTATTTCAAATTCAGTCCTTTGAGTTTTTATTTTTTTTATGTTAAAATTTTATATATTTTTAATTTAATTCTTCAATTCTAATTTGTATATATAATATTTTCAATTTGATTCTTCAACTCTTGATTTTTTTTCTTTGCTCTTTTATTAAAATTTTCATGGCTTTCAATTTTATTTTTAATATCAAGTTTTTTTTTCAATAGGAATAATACTAATTTTGATTTGGTCCTTTTTCTTTTGGTTTTTTTTTTTTTTTTTTTCATCAAAGTTTTGATGATCTTTAATTTTATCCTTCAAATTAATTTTATTTTTTTTCAATAATAATAATAATGGAAGATCATTCTAAATATTAAAATAAAAAAATAAAGCATTATTGTTTTCTTTATTAAAATAAAAATTCAATAATCAAATATTTAGTTTTCAACCATTCTATTTTATCCTTTTTGATTGATTAATTGTCGTAAACCAAATCAAATAAAGTTTGAGTATGTCTCTCTCTCCCGTGAGAAATTATTAGATAAACTAAAACAATTAATTTACTTGTATACTGAAGTGATAGTTACGTGGATCATAATTATTAGATAAATATGTATATGTACAAATACTAATATACAAACCCGAACTCATTATGTCTAATAGTTTCAAAACATTAAAAAAAAAAAGCTAACTCTTGGAGTGTTTCTTATTTATTTTGACTCTTTTAAGATGGTGGTTTTCATATAATATTATATTTACCCGAGTGATTTTTAAAAGTATATCCTAATGTTTTTAAGAAATTAAATGCTAATTCTTTTACAATTTCATGATCAAATTTTAAATTCAAAAACTTATAATGTTAGATAAAATTAAGGATATTATCAAATAGAATTGAATAATAAAATTTAAATTCATTATTATTTGGTTAATAAAACACTAATATTTTATTACAAATTTATATTAATCTAAACATGAAAGTATATAAACAATATTGTACTCAAGATATTATCAATAGGCATGCACAATTGCAAGACGATGGATACTGGGAATTAGGATATTACCTAATTTTCCGGGCTTCGTTGGATTTGAAAATTAACAGAAATATAAACATAATTAAAAATGATAAAGTGATGTGCCTGTTATATTCAACTGGTTACACATCTAATCACGTGAACTGCCCATAGAAAACGGCAGCATAATCAATTAATCATCAAAAATTAGATCTGCCAGTAAGATAAATTCATTTTTAATCCATTTATTTAAGATTTAATCTTTGATCAAATAATCTCATACTATCTTTAAATAAACTAATAGATAAAATATCAATGGTCTCTGTTATATAAAAATAAAAAATAAAAAACACTACAAGATTTAATAGTTTTACCAATGGAATTTTTCCATCAGCATAAGACATATATTCCGTCGATAATTAATTTACCAATAAAATCACTGACAGAAATGATCTGTCAATAAATCTTTCATCAGTAATTTTTTATCTTGTCAATAAATCTTTTATCAGTAATTTTTTATCCGTTGGTAATAAAACAATATTATTACCGATGGATTTATTGATGAAATAGACGCGTCGATAATAATATTTTATTATTACCAACAAATTTACCAAGGAATATACTGACAGAATTTTTGTTGGTAATTTTATTGGTAATTCTAAAAATACATTTATAAAAAAAATTCATTTTTATAAAATTATAAAATAATTAAATTAACATAAATCAACACTCTATAATGTATACTCAAAATGCTTGGAAAAGGAATAAGAAAATCAACTCAAACAAATTTCAAGCAAATAAATAAAACAAAAAAATAAATTCAACTAAAAAAATTCATATGAAAAAAATGAAGTTGCAATTGCTAAAAATTTAAAAATCCCTATAAATAAATCAACTAAAAATTGATCTCATATGAAAAAAAATTCACAACAATATTTATACAATTATTAAGAACAAAAACAATTAAAAATAAAATAAAATAACAAATATAGTGAAAAAAATCATGGAAAAAGAAGAAAAAGGAAAAATCTTACCTTAATGTATTTGCAAGAGAAGCTAAGGAGAGAAAAAAAAATTGTAAAGCATGTTAATTAAAAAAAACAAAGAGGGATAAAAGAAGGCAGAAGAAAAAGACATACGCGAGCATGAAGAAAAAAAGAAGAAGATGAGGAGAGAAAAGAAAAGAAAGAAATAGATATTGATGTTTTTTACATATAATAAAGAAGAAGAAGAAATGAGTTTTATTTTTTATGAAATAAGGGGATTCAGAGTTTTTATTGGGGCATGTTAGCGATAAATTTACCGATGGATAATTGAATATTAATATTTTCTAATTATTTTGTTAATAATTTTTTTGATAATATTTAATTTAAATTTTTAATTTTATAAAAAGTTTTCAGAAATCACCAATAATTACAAATGATTTTTCAATCTGTCGATAATTCTATCTATAATATTTAAATAAAAATTTTAAATTACTTTATTTTTTCAGAAAACCACTAGACAACACTAAGGACTTTTCAATCTATTGGTGATTTCAAACTTTCACGCTCATTTTGATTTTTTTTATTAAATTAACTAAAAGATACAAACAAATGTTTAATTGTTGAATGGTATTTCAAAAGGATTTCATATTATGTTTTAATAATATTTTTTAAAGATATATATGAAAATATTAGAACTATGAGAAGTGTAGCTCAAACAACTAGTTAGGTTTTAGATTTATTTCTTAGAAATTATTAATTTAAGTTTTATAAAAATTAAAATTATTAAAAATTTATATAATTATTAATTTTAAAATTTATAAAATTAATTAAAATAT